AGACAGAGGAACCGTTGTGTTTTAAATGGAATTAAATTTGTTTGCTTTTAAAATGTATATAGAGTTTCATAAACTATCAATAACATTTGTTATAATTTATCACGAAGCACATATGTCAATCAAAAATTATTTCAGATCGTTACTATTTTTTTAGTAATAGCTACAAACTGTTAATTAATCTGACAAAGTCACATCGTGAATTTGGTGGACTTACTAATAATTAGGGTTAGTGAAACAGACACAATTTTCTGAAAATACGGAAGTGAGGTATGTATCACAATTTCACTATCAGTGAGTCTGCATTGTGGTGAAACAAAAAGTGTTAAAATACTCCCTGCAAATCTTCAATAAAACAATCCAAGAAGTTTTAAAGATAGCACTAAACATTTTCATAAAAATAGTTTATTTGTAATGCTAAAACGGCAGTTAAAATCATTTGCACAAAACAACTTCAGAAGGGACGTGTAGTTGTGTAAAAGTAAGAAATGTCGGTGATGTGTCTATTGTCAAATCACGTGTCATTAGCATTAGAAACCGTGTGCTTCCAACGCGTTGTTACGCTCCAAAAAGCCCGGATCGTAAATCGATTCTTTATCTCTGGACGCATTAATTTTCTCTTTCGCCCGTGCGTGCGTCGTGCGTGCATGGCACCACATGTGACAGCTGACGGAACGCGCGACCTGCCTCATGTGATGCACGTGTTCAACCGGTTGCCACAGGATCTATCTGGATTACGGACGATTGTGCGAAACGGGGAGAGATAAGAGGCGCAACCACGATTTTTCTATGGGGGTCAGGACTAGTGACCAGGAGAATTTTTGTTTTCTTATAAATAATATTTCGTTTAAGCACAACTTAAGTTTATTTTTATTTGATGATTTGTAGTTGCAATTATAACATAATATTTATGCTGCATTTATATTGCATTCAATTTCGATATTGAATGTCTTTCGTTTTTATAGAAAGGTAGTAAATTGATTGTTAAGTGATTGCGGGCACGGCAACTGCTAAGGTCAATTAGTCCCGTAAGGGTAATGCATGTTTTCATCGCGGAAGATGGTGGTGGTCTTTCCCCCCGCTGGATGGTGAGATTCAGCGCCGACCTCGGCTTGCGGGGTTTTCCCCAAGCAGGTATCCCTGACCGGCGGGACACTACCTCAGCCGGGCAAAACTCCCGACATGTGTTGTAATGTATTGCGTGTATGGGTGTGTAAGGAAAGGGTGATGATATGACAAGGAAGAGGAAGGAGAGACCGCGATCGGTCCTGGCCCGTTTGGCAGGGTACTGCTCCGGCATTCGCCTGATATTGGCCGGAGAAACCACGGAAAACTACCGATCAGAGCAGCCGTACGCTATAGAATTCTCCTCCTGACAGCACCTGAACTCAACCTACTTATTAAGCAGGTGTCGAAAACCTTGCCACCGTCGCGACTCGAACCTAGGACCTCGCGGTTGGGGGCAGTGCAGTGACATTAGTCAATGACCTGAGTCACCTCTCCCGGTGCATTTCTGAATATGTGTCTGGCCTTCTGGAGGTGAGGTGGGAGGACTGAATCCTCCTTCGGGGGCGCCATTGGGGTAGATACATCATTTCTTTGTCGGAAAGGTTAATGGAAAGTATTTGAGATAATTATGAATTGTTGCAATTCAAGTACTTCATTACAATGACCGTTGAAAAGCGTAATTTTAAATATTTGGAGTCTTAGCTGTATTTCTAATTATGAAGAGGAATTCGGTTACAAAAGTTCATCAAAATGATGCGCCCTTATATGATGGTTAAAGCGAAGTCACGAAATATGTGGATGACTTTGACCTTACGGGGTGGGGATAAGATGAGCCATGGAGTAATTGGCTAAAGACAAAGTATCAATGAACGAACCTCTCACAAGCTAACTACAAATATTTTGAAGGATATCAAATCTTCAGCAAAATGTATTTAAAAATTATCAGTGAACTTCTGAATAAATCTCTTGAAATTCTTCTGAAGGAATCTTTTGTAGGCATTTAACTTGTAAAGAACAAAGAACTAACCGCCTCAGCCGGGAAGCGAATCTCAATCTACCGGTATATATCCATTTGCTCTGATCAAATGAGATATTGGGACTGAACTCTTCCAACAGTCTTTCGAAGTTAAGAACCCCTGTGAATTTTACATTTTACATTTCACTTACAATGAAGATCAGATGGTGATTTAATGATAATGATAATAGTAATAATAACAATATATAATAATAAGACGAATTTTGTTGCTCTAAAAGAATAAAACAAACGTCACATGCGAAATTCAATCACATCTATTTTCTCGCACCTAGTCCTATAGTAGAGGCAATCTTGGTAGTGAAATTATCCCATCTATACGAAAGATAAAATCATGGGTTTCTGCACTTTGCTCATTTAGCGATAAAGGAGATTTGTGCGTCCTATTCTCGCAACGTTCTCGTTTTAACCGTGCAGCCTTATCATGTCGAGTGAAGAATTATGAGGATTAAGGGCGGTTAGCGCTGGATGCGAACAATAGGAAACGAGAGGCGACGAGATAAAGAAGAAGATAGTGCAGGTAGAGCAGAAGGTTTATCTCTAATCATTTGTTTCTTTTTCCTATCTTCTCTATTTTTCACATTTCGCATCAAGGTCAAGACTTGCCCTTAACACACATCTCTCGAATAATCTGAACTTAACGCATTGTTTTTTTAAGTAATGCAGAGACAGCGTTTTAATTGCATTAGAGTTACAAGAATTTGCAAAACCTCAAGAATGTTTACTATATCTAAAATATATACAGGAATGTAATATAAATAAAATGAATAATGAAAATAATCAGGCAACAGAATAATACACATATCTCTTATTTCACATAATATATTAAACTTCAATTATAATACAATTTTTAAAGGTACATTGTCTCTATTTACAAGTACACTGCCGCACGTCTTTGCTTGTAGTGAACTTTTTCTTGTAAAGAAATATGTGTCGCTTGGTAACATATTGATGACAAACAAGAGGAACCAGAGAGGAAAATACGAAGATGAAATTAAAAACATATTTCTGGCGATCTATAAAACGGTTAGTTATGTCAAATGAGCTTAGAGTATTAAAACAAGAACAACAATATTTACAGTTAAAATCCTAATGATCACATGAATTATTTCTGTTTTAGAAGGTACAATGGTTGTGGCACATCTATGATTCCAGGTACTGACATTCTTTCTTTTTATAATAAAATATCATTTCACTGCGAAACAGTAACAACGCATTCGTAACAAAAATTCTTCCTGCAAGTTCTTGATTCGAAAAACTTTGTCTGGAACCCGCGAGGTGAATTCAACCATCACAGCCAACGAGTATCACAAGATGCACAAAAACATTCGTGTACGATCTTCACTAGAGTACATAATCCAGCGAGGAATCTAATGTTAACGATGGGAATTACTACATTTTTGAATGCTTAACGATTGGAATGAATGTTACTTTGCGAGATTTATCGTACGGGAAAGTAGTTTTCCAAAGGTTGCTGGAAATGTTTCTATTGCTTCCTGCATTGTAATTGTAGAGTGTTTGTTTAATTTCGTCAAAAATTCTAAAATCCGTCAGAAACATGCAAAGTCTCTGTAAATCTTGAATTCATCATCATGATCTTCGTTTCTCCAAATTTCGAGCTTGATAGCAAGACAAAAAACGTCAAAAAACATAAAAACAGTCAATAAGCACCAATTATTTCTATAAATAACTTCAAGCGTCACACGGTCACATTCCTGCACTTCTTCACGATGAATACTGACAACAACAAGATTCGAAGCAACATGCGATTTTCGTCTCTGTCGAATACAGATCTGAAACAGACCGACCGTCCACAGGAGCAGAAACAGCTCCGTCACGTCGTAATATCACAGATGAGGCAGGACACTGTCTTCTCCTGAAAGCTCTCAGAATGCCCCACTTGGCAGCCCGTTTTGGAAGGAATACTCCGCCGCTGGCGCCCACAGCTTTCCTCAAGCCCGCGGTAACGAAGGATCGCAAGACACGAAAACAATCGGGAGATGAGGGAGATGCGAAAGCAGGATGACATTGGCGTGGATGTGTTAGCGAGGAAATGATGTTGGGGAGAGGATGGTTGGGTTGAGGTTGTTTGAGGAGCGTTCTGTGGGGGTAGTATAGGCAAGAAGAGGTAGAAGGGTGTAATGGCGAAAAGGCTGCAGTGGTGGAGAACGGTGGCGAGGAGCGATGACGGGAGAGCGATGACGGGAGAGCGATGACGGGAGAGCGATGACGGGAGAGCGATGACG